CGATGACACACATTTCGTGTGTTTTATGTGAGCAGTTCTGTTCGAACAGTTGGAGTAGAGAATATTGTAAGTTACTGCTAGCAAAACAATGCGAAATATGTAATTATTTTCGGTAATCCGGACACTTTTGGTAATCTGACACACCTTTGGTCCCATACCTGTCGGATTATCAAGGGACAACTGTATTTTGTTGTTTTGACAGATTTTAGCCATTCAACTTGGTTGTGCACGGGAACAATGTTAGATAAATTCTAAGTTAGCCATTTTCAAACTGAAGGCACTCACTTTCTGTACATTCCACATTATTGGTATGAAATACACTAATTAATTTGAGATTCAGCAAACTGGCAGAGAACTTATGTGGGAGCTACCAAATGCACTCTACAACAAAGAATTAAGTAATGCAAATACACTGTTGAGAAAAATCTCAACACCAGTCTTCTTAGCAACTTATGTCTTCCAGCAGGACATACGGATAAAATGGAATAAGATTAAGATCATCAGGTCTGCCAGCAATCCTGATTCTATCAATTTCTTGGAGTTATTAGAAAGTTTTAATCAGGGTTGTGGTGTCGGAGTCGTGGAGTTTTGGTGTTTTAGCCGGAGTCAGATGATAAGGAAAAGTCGGAGTCGGAGTTGGAGTCGGTAGATTTTTACGCGACTCCACAGCCCTGGTTTTAATGCTAATAGGAAACATTTGTATTAATCATAGGGATGCTGACACATTATCGACAGTGTGGAAATTTATATATGAGCTTTCACTTGAATCTCCAGTAATTGTTATTGTTTATTTACGTGGTGTGTTCAAAAAGTATCAGACCTTTGGTCGGCAAAAATAAATTTATTGACTTTGAGGTACAAAACCCTAATCCCCTTCAAAGTAGTCTCCTTAGTAATGTATACACTTCTCCTAGCGTTCCTGCCATTGCTGGAAACACTGCTGGAACGCATCTTTTGGAATGGCCATCAGCCGGTCCGTCAGATTCTGCACGATGTCTTCTCTCGACTAAATTCGGGTTTCTTTTAGCAGCATTTTCAGCTTGTGAAATAGCCAAAGGTCACACGGAGCCATGTGGGGAGAGTACAGAGCGTGACGAATCAAAGGAGTATTGTGTTTGGCGACGAAAGCCCGAATCAGATGCGCAGAATGGGCGGATGCGTTATCACGATGGAGCTGCCAAGTTTTGATCGACC